AGATTAAGGTACGAAATGTCTTTTTGCTGCTAAAGAGCAGTTAATCATAGGGTCACTGTGTCATTATGTATTCCATCCAGCATTTTGCATGAAAAGCCAATTATTTTTTCAAAGCTTAATACTTTCTTATAATACCTGCGCTAGACATGCCACACAAAAGCACTAACAATGGCAAAATACACTTTCACCTCACGGTAATTTATTGGCATAATTGTTTTTAAATATTCACCATGATTGATGATTTAGTAAAAAGCTGATAGAGAAAATAATATAAAATAACCGAAAGTGTGTGTGTGTTGGTATGCGAGTGCGCTCTAATGTACTCGGATTATAGATATATGGAGCACGTATACGCCCCGTAGTCCACATTGCCTGCACGTCGAGGTACTTTGTGTGTGTGTCGGTGTGTGCGCTTCAAGGATTTCACTGTTTTTCCACGTTCTCAAGGCAACAACGCTTTCGTATAATTGAAATGTTTTCCACCTCCAACAATAAAGCAACAACAACTAACAACCAACAACAAACCAAAAAAGCGCATTCAATTTTGTACATAAATAATGTGTTTTTCTGTGCTATTCCTAGAAGGTTGCCAGCGCCTGACCTTTTCTATGTCAAAGCCAATGATGCGTGTTAAGTGAGTGGGCGGGGAGGAAGCGAGAGAGAGCACTGTTAAATTGTGCGGTTGAAGTTGCTAAATTTGAATATAATAAATGTCTAATCGAATATTTTTGGTATCAAACTATTTTCATGTATTTGTTTTTGACTGTATGTATGTATGTATGAGTGGAATAGTACTCAGTAGTATGTATGCGACATTAGGCAAATTAAAATGTCTCGGAAAATTTGGCATTACTGTAAATTTTTGCAAGCCATGAAATTTAGTGTTGGGCTAATGAAAAGTTTGCGCTATGCTATTTACCTTGGCGAATTAGTTTTCGGTGTTTTATTACGAAAAACTATTTGGATAAATTATTAAATATTTATAACTTTTCTAGGAGATCTATTATTTTTAATTCCTAAAATTGTTTAACTATTTTTATAAATTCGGAAAATTCAAATCGTGCATTGAATTGCATAATTCTTACATCTGGTTTGTATTAGGGTAACAATTAAAGTTTGTGAAATAAGCAATATTTATTTTTTCTTTGAAAATAACACATTATGCCAATTATTTAATGATAGATCGGTTGAATATTAGATATATTTTTTTATGATCTTATTGAAGACTTTAGCACAAAAATTTTCTTTATTTATACTTTTTTCGATACAAAGACAACTGATCAAATTTTATTGAAGATCGTTTCTAGCTGACCCGCAAAAGTACACACATTATCAGCTTGGCTCCAACACTCAGTCATTTGAGTTTTGTTTCGTGCTCAAATATTAATTCTCTTTTTTCAAATTGAAATGATATTTTAATCTCTCAATTCATAACTACGACTGTGTAACTCACGTTTAACTTGTGCTGTCCAGGTCTAAAAATATGTTTTTAATAATCCTACACTAACGAAAACCAATAACATTTGTAAGACTACAATTACAAAAATCTCACGAAAGAATTTTCACGAGCAAATGTTTTCATCAAACTTTATATTTTAAATTAACTGAAAGGAATATTATCTGATACTGTTGAATATCTTAAGGAGTGACAAACTTTTGGAAATCAAAACAAGAAAAAAGAAGAAACGTTAACTTCGGTTGCACCGAAGCTAGAATACACTTCACAAATGCAAAAGGAATGGAAGCGTTTAATTTTTATAGTGCAATTTGTATGGGAGCAATATGCTTTAGTGGTCTGATCTAGATTATATCTTCAAATATTGTAGTACCCGTGCCAAATTTCATGATGATATCTCGTCAAATAAAAAAGTTTCCCATACAAGAACTTGATTTTGATCGTTCAGTTTGTATGGCGATATCAGACAAAGAGACACACGGACATGACTAAATCAATTCAGCTCGTCACGCTGATCATATACCTATTATAGAGTTCCCGACGTTTCTTTCTAAGTGTTAGAAACTTCGTGACAAACTTACCATATTATACCCGATTGAGGGTATACAAAAATATGTCGTACATTGCTGACTAGTGCTTATTTGGAGTGTACCAAACTTCGATTTCAAAATACATAATAATGCCTCTCTTTGCATCTACAATTCTTACGCTCAAACGTACATGAAAGGTTAAATAATTCATTTTTTTCGAGAATGTTTCTGGATAAGATACACTGCATTCGAATCGTAAAACAAGGAGATGCTCTTTCCACTGCTATAATCAGACCAAATTAAGAAAGATTTCATTTTATCTTACTCACCAATGCAGGGGACTTAATATACGTATATACACGTTTATGGGCTTCTGCTCTCAGTCCAAACTAATCAGTCAACATGAGAACAATATACCAGTAAACTGTATGGTTGTGGATATTTTAATAGTTATGGAATATATGCTAACTAATATCAGATAATAATTAAAAATATATAAACATAGTTTTTGAAGCGTTAAATTATTTAAACCGATTATGCAAGCAATGAATTTTAGATACCAATATATCATGGTAGTATTAAAATACTCCAAAAATTTTACTGCATTTTTCTAATTTCAAAGCAAAAATTAATGTAAAGTAGTGACCTATATAAAGCAAAAGCTACATTTCGATGCGATAGAAATTTTTTTTATATACTTTTAGCTTACTTATATCAAGAAAGTTATCGCAATTGAAATCAAGGATACGCAATCATTTCAATTTCGATAAGCATATACCCGAATATTCCAGAAAAACATTTTGGTACACGAAAAAAACTAACCACTACAAATCTCACTACAAAAATTATAATGAAATGTCTTCTAAAGTGTTTTCTTCTAATCAATAGAATGCAGCACTGTATAACATGTGTGTCAACAAAAAAATCCGACAATTCTTGGTCTTTGCGGCCAACAAGAAGCTTCTCGTAAATAATTATAGAACTTAAGCCAATTAGGTGCAAATAAACGTGAATGACTTTTTCTGGAAAGCAAATAAATTAATTGCTCATTTAGGATGGAGCTTGGACACGACATGCCGTGAAGCATTATTTACAGAAACGAAACGGTACTTATGTACGTACAAATGTAATGGAATCCTAAAAACCGAAGCAAAGAAAAACAAGTCGTAATATCAGCAGTCATTGAGCACACACACAGTATATATATAGATGTATGGTATGTATGCATCGGTGTGTGGGTAGATTAGATATTTGCTATACATTTGTACAAAGCGCAAAGGCAGTGGGAGTAAAGGAGTTCGAGTGGTGTAGTGGATTAGTGTAATTGCAATTGAAGTGTTTGCCAGCGAGGTGAATGTTATTGTTTTTCTTAACTATCAGCGTATTTTGTTGCGTTCTTCTGTAGTCAATATCGCTTTTTTTTAATTTGTGCGAAGATGAAGATGAAAATGTGTTTATATAGGGTGTTTTCTGATATTTTAGGAATTATTTGGGTACATGTAAACTTCAAGATAGTCGTATTCTAATCCAGCTATATATTTTATCTTAGAAGTTTGTACATTTGGCTTTTGAATTTGTGTCTAAAGAACGGCGCCTAATTTTTTTAGCAGTCTACCAGATATCTGCGCAAAATGTGTGAGCATTTTCAAGATCATCAGTAAATATTAGCTTTGTTGTTGAGTTTTACAATTTGCCAGCAAACATTTTTTTGTATAAACTTAAAACTGCTTTTTAAAAGTACCTACTATTTCTTTTCATCTGCCTTCACATCAGCTTAAGAAGCTCCTACAATAACATTTTCTGATAAATTCTGATAAATTTTGCAACATCTAGCGAGTTTGAAAACATAACAATATTTTCCAACTTCCAACTAACAGCTAATGTCGGGTTGTTTTGTTATTGCATTCCGAAAAAAAATAAAATCGGGCTCCTAATAATAAATTAGGGGTAGTTCTTAAGTCTGAGGATGCGACAGATCTTAGAGAATTTTCTTTCTACAAACTTAAATCCATGAATTATATTTTTGACGTGAACATATCGAAGAATACACGTATCTACAGTTATAATATAGATTAATCTTCTTAAAAACATAACTGTTTTTTTTTTCATAAATAATTGTTTTATTTTATAAGCTCTTAGAAACATTTTTTTAGGCGCAAAACTTTTTGTTTCCAAAATATACATAACACTTAACACAAACTAAAAACACAAGAAATGCTTGTAAACCATAACTTCATAATCAAGATTGAATATATCATGTGTGTTTTTGTGAGAATTTGGCTCTGAATCTGCAGAAATTAAACCAACAGGGGTTAAATATGCTTGGAAATTTGAAAAAGGAACGAATCTAAAAAATTTGGATTTTATGTCAAGACTGTGTATAAAGCTTTATAGATCACAGAGTTTCTCAAAGTGAACTCTCCTAAACCCAATATACAAAAAAAAAAACCAATATACCAAAACAAATCGATTCAATTCTAGCGTCGACCTGTCAATGAAATGATAAAAAGAAACAAGAGGTTAAGTTATTTGAAGGCATAGAAATTGTCGATATAAGATGGTTGGAACCTGTGAAGTACTATAAAATATGGTAGGTTTTATAGGGAAGATTGATGATCAAACCGAAACAATTCCTACATTAAAAATACTGGTTTCGAAGTTAACACGGTATTCACGATTTGCGATGACAATGTACAATTCAAACCGAAACGGTATATTAACCGTCATGGTCTATCGGTTTTATTGTTTACAGTAACATAGCGTGTTCGTGAACTTCCGTACAATAAAAAAAATTACTCTCTTGTATTTCAATATTAAAAATAATAGAAAAAACTTAATACAAAAAAATTACGGTGACATAAACACAGCGCACGTGACATCATTTTTTTCTGCGTCTTCGGCAATTTCATGAGACGCTGTCCCACTCTTACAATATAGGTAATAATATTTATATTTTTGGATAATTGTGCATTCACAGTGAATTTGTGGCGCGATTGAAATAAAACGCGACTTACCTGCGGCGTGCGCGTATCATCGCCAGGCCCGGTCACAACGACACCACCTCCACCGCCAACGGTGGCACCCACTGCCGAGTAATTACACTGGCAGCCCTCCTCACAGCACAGACGCACCAATTCGTGCTCGCCGCATGTGCACGGCTCCTCGTCCTCCTCGTCGTAGGCGCAATCTTCACGTATTAAAATAATATAATCCGCCTCGAAAAACTCATTGCGTGTCTCGTCGAAGACGACACGATTCTTGCGCGCCGGCGGCGGACGATTCGGTTTTTTGAGCAGACCGCGCAACTGACCGTTAACTTCACGCATTTTGTTGGTGTCGATGTTAAAGCTTTGGTATTTAATTTGGTTGTGGTTGTCGTTTGGATTTGTTTGTTTTGTTATTGCACTTAAATGAGCTTTGCTCGCACAAATCTCGGGACTTCTTGTCACGTCGAACGCGCACGATTCACTTTGGTTTAAATGAGTGTAATTGCTTTCACTGTTCACTGACAAATTGTTTACACTACTATCGTTGTTGTTGTTGCTGGTAATATTGTTGGTTTTTAGTAAATTATTTTCATTTTGCTCGCGCACACAATTCACACAATCACAAATCGAATTCGTATCAATGTCCGCGCTCACAATGACCACGGCGTTCGGCTGCACAGCCGTCGCGTCAATACCGATGGACGACACCTCGTCGAATAATTCGTCGTAACATTCGAAATCGACAGAATTTGCAAATACGTTGTCAGCGCTTGGGCGTAACGGCGGTATAACACAGTTGCTGTAAATGTGGCCGGCGCTGCCGCTACCTTGGCCTCCGCTTCGTTTGAATTCACACTTCTGTGTGTTGCGCACGAAATTCGGATTTTGATTTGTGTCCACACCAACGGACAATGGCGGCAATGTACTTGTTGCTATTGCTGTTGTTGCTACGTAACCAACGCCACCGATGATATCACTCAATCGGCGTGCATCAAACTCGGAAGTCGAATGACCCACCAACGGATACAGCGCGTATATGGGCCGATAGGTGGCGGTATGGCTGACGCTTGGTAGGTAATATTCAAAGTTATTAATGTAACTATTGTTGTTTGTATTGTCAGCGTTGCTGTTGTTGTAGAAAAGAGGTCCTGGTGTCGCTGGAAAATGCTGCTGATTTCTAGGTTTTGTGGCAACGAATGCGCTTAGCCGACCACAACTTAAAGCCGCTTTCGGTGGTGGCGGACGTGGTGGTGGTGTTGGTGTACGTGATCTTGCTGGTGATGCTGCTATTGGTGAGTGTGTTTTTAGCGTTTCCGAATCGCCTACCGGCTGCTGGGCTAAACGCTGGCACGGCGCGTTCGCAAATATTGTGGTTTTTGTTGAGCTCGAAGGCGTCGCACTCAATTTCGAGTTAGTTAAAGTTTTCGTCGTAGTTATTGTTGTAATTGCATTTGTTGCAGCAGTTGTCGCTGTCGTTGCGGTTGCGTTGGTCAGTGCAGTTTCGCGTGACGCTGCGCTATCCGTGGCATCTGTTGTGCCACCTTGTTTATGGCGTGTCGACGCGCCTTCAACTATTGGCACGCGATTTTTGTTATTGTTTGTTTCCACCGCACCACTGATTGTTGTTGTTACAACACTGCTGGCATTCGCCTCACACGCATTTGTTGCCTGCGTTAGGGTGGCTGTTTCGCTACTCGCCGCAATCACTACTTTATGCACTACTGCCTCTGTTGTCTCCTCCCCCTGGTTGTCGGCAGTTATTTTTACCTCAGTTGGGCTTGTATTGTGTGCCGTTAGTTTGTCACCAGCACTAGTCGCTGGCAGCGAATCAAGTGCACCTACTCGTTGCTTGCTAGCGAATACAGCTGTTCGGTGGACTTCCGTCTCCTCTGTCGCGGCCGCAGTCGGTTCTCGCTCTCGCTCGCTGCTCTTTTTGCACTCTTGAAATGTGTGCGCTGTGGCTGCTGCGCACTCGTCGCTGTTGTAATGCACAAAAGTGTTGCTAATCTCCTCAATATGATTGTGTTGATTGCAATTATTTTTATACGCCTGATTATTGTTGTTGTCTGCTAACGTAACGTCACCAGCACTGCTGTTGTTGCAATGCGTTGCTGTTAATTGGATTGCACTTGGCTTTTCAATGACTGCAACTTTTCCGTTTGTCGTTACAATTACTGGCGACCTTACTGCACCAGCACAATACCGTTTCTTTGTGCCACCTGCAATTTGTCCAACCGCAAGTGTTGTTGTTATGATTTTTGCTGTACTTGCAACGTTGACTGCCGTCGTCGCCACAACCACTTGTGCTTTATTAGTTGCGTTTGTTTGTCTTATGCTATTGTTGTTGTTCTTTGGTATTTCCTTCGTTGGTGCGCTGGTCGCCTGTCTGGCAGCACACTGCTGCGTCGTCGTCGTCGTCGCCGAGTCGTCTCCCAATAAGCCTTTGTGCTTACCTTCGAATTGTTTGCCTTCGCTGCGGTGTTTCAAGGCTTCTACCACTTCGTTGTTGGTGTCTGCTTGTTGCGATACACAAACTGCACGTTCGTCCTCGTGCGCGTCCTCGTCGTCCTTGTTGTGGTTGTCGTCGGCGTCAGCACTTTTTTGTATACTCTGCAAGTTCTGCTCGCTCACACCTGCCGTCACTGCATTGGCATGTGCCTCGTCGTACTCGTGCGGAGTTTCGTCTTTTAAATGATTGCGTGTCACGCATATCAATCCACGAAAATGTTGTTGCAAGCGTTGCAAACGTTGACTAGCTGCGAACTCATCGCTACCACCAAATGGGGGTGCGCGCTGTGAGAGTGCTCCTTTGTGACTTTGTGTCTCGGCGACGTATGCTTTATCGCTGACGTCGTGCGGGGCGCCAACTTCGGCTATGTTTTGTCTATGCACAAGTAGTTTATCTGCCTCACTTAACTTTGCATTGTCTTGCTGTGGTTTTACTGGCGCATGTTCCCCATATTTTTCTGCATCTAGCCTATATATTTGCTTCGCGTCCGCCGGCTGTAGCGCCGCGCTCGGCTTTTGTTCCTCACTAAAGTTGTTATGCTCGTAGGGAATATGCACACTTTTAGTTTCCTCTTTGCCGTCAATAGTTTGCTGTGCAGCAACTTGAACTAAATTGTCGCAGCACCCCAGCCGTTGTGTGTCACTTTCGCTTAGTGGCAGATTAGCTAAGAAAGCTGAGTGCGTGTTGATCGTTCTCGCCTCGTTAAACACTTTCGCATCCTTTGCTACGCCAGCTTCTATGGCAACATTAGCCACTTGTGCCTCAACGCCTGCCTGTGTGCTGTGGTCGTTGTCGTTGTTGTTGTTGTTAGTGCGTCCTTTTGGCCACTTATCTCGTGCATTACTTACACTTTCTGGTGCCGCGCCGCTAGTGTTGCGCCCACTTGAAAAAATTGCACACTTAAATAAGTTCTCTGTGTATTTTTTCCTTTCCACTTCACACTTTTCTCTTAATACCTCTGCCTCTGCTTTGTGCACCACCTCACTTTTATCACTTATTTTGCCTTCTTCGCTCGCTTTGTGATAACTCTGCCTTATCTGGTCGCACGTCGTCGGCGTCGTCGTTTGTAGGGGTTCACCACCCGCAGTCGCTGTCCCAATTGGACTGCTAATTACAGTGGTATGCACAGAAGGGTTGTTGGTCGTCGCGTAGACCGTCTCGCTTTCATTAATAACTTCACAACGGTGTTGGGTGCAATCTGGTGCTACTTGTGCCTGCTCCGTGCACGACGGTTCGTTCGACCACTTCTGTTGGTATTTCTTCGGCTGCGTCTGTTGTTCGTATTGTTCGTAGCTTTGCGCTCGCCCGTCGCACGGCGCTACCTCACTATGCCACGCACTTCCACTTGTAAGCTGTGGCCTCACTAAGGTTTCGTCTGTTATACCCCGCCCCCGTAAGGCATATACATTCGCATTATTCACTTTATATACTATTAATTCGTTGTCGTCGGTGTTGTTGTTGTTGTTGCTGTTGTTGCTGTTACCGTTGTTGGCGTATTCAATGAGCGCAACATTGGCCGCCGCGCATTCAGGCTGTTGAAGCTGTTGTAGCTGTTGTGACTTTTGTTGATGGCGCTGGTCGTGGTCGCTGCTCGAAGTGATAAATTTGAAGTTCTGTTGCGAATTATGTATTCGTTGCGCTCGTTGCGTATTCGTTGAATCGTAAGCAGTGCCTATTCCACTGTTGTTGTTGGTATTATAGCTGGTTGCTGGTTCGCTTTGTGTCTGACACTGTCCTTTGTTCGTAATTCGCTGACAAAATATTTGTTTAGATTGATTTGCGCAAATCACGCTTTGTTGCTGACACTTTTCAATTTTATCTACACTTGCTTTGGCTTGTTTCTCTTGTTGACTTTGTTCTTGTTTCGCTTTCCTTGCACTAAGCTCTTTTTTATTAACACTCACCACACTTTCTTTGCATTCTTCATTCGCTATTTGTTGCTGTGTCTTATCCGCAACGAGTGTAGACAATTCGCATGAAAAGTATTCCTCAAAATTTTCAACCTCATCCACCCTGTCTGTATTGAAACTCCTATCACATCCACCTTTGTCGAGCTTCTCAGCTGTCGCTGGTGTTATTTCTTCAATCAAATTCGAATGCTTAACTATTCTAGCGCTTACAATTGGTTTTAATTCAGTCTTGTTTTCGTCGACCTGCACTTCTATACACCTCGCATCAGTGCTACAATTTTTGCCTACTAGTGCTAGGGTTTCACCCCGTTTTAGACAAATGTTACTTTCTGTAACTTCTGAAATGTTTTCATGAATGGCCTTTATGGTATCGACATTGGCACCACTACGACGTTCACTGCCTATGCTACTAACGCTGGTACCGTTATTGCTGCGCACAGTGGCTGTATCGTCTTCGTCGTTTTGCTCGCCACCCTTCGCTTGGTTGGCCGCACTACAGCCTCGTCTTTGGCCCCCCCTCAACGAATTCGCTTCACAGATACACCACTCATTCAAATCATTTAAATTACATAAATATTTGTTATCAACACTGCCTTTGGCGTCAAATTCACTACACAATAGATTTTCACAATTCGCTACAATACCGTTATACACTAAAGCGCATAGTCGCTGCTCAGCGCTTAATAATTTGCAATTTTTCACAATTTCCCAATTTTTTCTAGAATTTAATGAAAATTTCTTCTCAGCTGCTACAGCTTTTTCAGCTGCTGCTGCTCCAGCCACACGTCGTACTCGTATGTCGTTGTCCTCGTCGTGCTTGTCGTTGCTGGCCAAGCTGACTATTCTATGTGCTTTCACATTCACCACATTGCTTTCATCATAGCTGCTTTCACTAGTTCGCCTACTGACGCTGCCACTACTCTCGCTGCTGTTGCTTTCGCTGCTATGGCCTGCGCTTGGATTAATGGTTTGTTGCTGTATTAAGGTTTTCGTGATGCTGCTCCTTGCCGCTGTCACGTCCTCAGCCTGTTGGAATGTGTCGTTTGCAGTGGGGAGAATCACATTCGTTGGCGCCACACACGTACTACCGTAGTCCTTCGTGCACGTAATCGTTACTCGTTGTGGTGAGCTCGTTTCGATCGATGACGAAGTTGATTTCGTCACGTCCCTTACCACCCCAAGCAAATCGCTGGCACTTTGCTGTATGCTGCTGCTGTCACAGCCACTGGCACTGGCACTGGCATCGTCAAAGCTCGCCTGCTGAGTGTGGCTGTCATGGCTGTTGGTAGCATTGCCGTTCGCTGTATTCTGGTTAGTGTCGGAGCGCAGTGTTGTTGTTATGCTAGCTGTTGTTGTTGTAAGAGCATAAGTCGCACTCGTCACAGTCATTGTTGCTGTCAATGTCGCTGGCGTAGTCACAGCGCATGCTCCTACTCTCCCACCTGTGCGCTGCGTTGCGTCGTGTTTACTCTCCATACCACCGTTATGTCGTGGCAGCGCCGCCTTCAACCACCCAAATGTTAACGCGGCTGTTTCGACTACTGTACTCGTTGGCGTTACCGTTGCACTGTGCGAACATGTTAACGCCAAGCGATTCACAAGTTGCTCTACTGCTGTTGTTGTTGTTGTTGTTGCTGTTGCTGTTGCTTCTGTTGCCTTATTAATATCTTTTGTATCTGCTATTCCCGCTTTGTCGCCTGGCATTGCCCGTGCGTCCCCCGGGTACATTGAAATTTCAGCTTCGACGCATTCCTCCTCGCCGTTGCATTCAATTGGCTCAAATGCCGTTGCTATTGTTGTCGTTGTTGCTGTTGTTGGTGCTTCTATCGCTAGCTCTGCTGGCGTTGTGCACCGATGCATTGTCACTTCGCTGCCTTGGTCACCGCAGCCGCTGCCGCTGCAACTGCTAACAATGGGCCAACAACAACTATCATTTATTGCTGTATTCCTACTGGCACCACAAGCACTTCCGCTGTTGCTCCCAACGCTGCTGGCATTGTGCTTGTCGCTTTGACTTTTATTGTCATCAACAAAGCGCAGCGTTGCATTTCCCTGCTCGCCGTCGCTTACTGCCGTTTTGGCGCTTGGCTGCCTTGCACTTTTGTTGTTACTTATTGCTTGTTGTTTGTTGCTGCCTGTTGTTGTTGTTGTTGTTGGTGAGTTGCCAACAATTAGTTGCTGCTTTTGTTGTAATTCGTTTGCGGTTTGCACGCTTTGTTTGCCCTCAGTTGTCATTTTGCCAATTGCCTTTTTTGTTGTTTCTGTTGTTGTCGCTGCCGCAGCTACTTCCACACCCTCCGTTACCGTTGCCGTTGCCGTTTCGTCGCTTGCTGATCGTTGTGAGTTGGCCGTGGAGAAGATCAGTAAATCAAGAAACATCATGTTTGTTGTTGGAACATTTCACAATGCGTCACCAAGCTGACCGTTCGGCTTCACTGGCTATCGAACATTTAAAATACTGTAAATAAAAATAAAAGTAAAATGAAGATGAGTCCACCTTTAAGTATAGGTATGTATACTGAAAAAGATTGAGCTTAAACAAAGTGGAGGTAAATGAGACTTTCAAACAAAATCAATGAAATGTAAAAAATATGTGCGAAAATGTCTTCAGTATCGTTCTTTATTATCGAAATTGACTAATATAGCTGACAAAAGCTACAAAACACTATTAATTAAGTAAAATTTTTATTTCAATAAGCGGACGATGGGTCTTGGAATAAATGAACCTTTATTTGATATCTATAGCCCACCCGTTTCTTATACGTCTGATCAATTTTGACTCGGACTGATCCATTTAAACTGCGCGCCCAAATCGAATGATAATTTTTTCCAGAATTGGTATATTTTTTATGTTTTTATGTATGCGCGACTAAGCTAGTTACTATGCTACATATTATATTTTTTTTTTTTAGTCTTCCAAATGCTTTCTATATTGTAACATGTTTGGGAAAGATTCGAATTAACAGCGTTCGAATCGTTATATCATGGAGACTGACGAACTTGCAAAAATTCGTTAGTAACAGTATCGCAAACGTATTTTTAGTCTTAAAAGAAAAACACATTTTAAATCGAAAAAAAATGAGTTCATATTTTGAACTTTTTGCATACTTGATGCCAGCGCCACCTAGAGAGTTTTTAAATTGACTCTAATGACACGTGCATTACATAAAACGACGTCTGAAATTTCTATAAAAATCTTTATAGTAGCTTACGAATTTAAGGCTAAAATACGAATAAAATTATGTATCCGAAACCGTTACGACTTTTTTTTTAGTTTTAAAATTTTTGTGTTAAACATTTTATACTCTCTTAAAAGTATTTTAAGTTTGCCACGAAGTTTGTGATAAACAAAAGGAAACGTTGGAGACTCTAAAGTGTTTATACCATATAAATGATCAGTGTGATGAACTGTGTCGATTTAGCCATGTCCGTCTGTCTGTCTGGCTGTATATACAGTTTCTAAAATATCGATATACAATTTTTCCCCCAAGAAACTGCGTACTTATCGAAACCACTGCTATCGAACCACTATAGCATAAAACTGATCGATCAAAATAGTGATCAAAACCTTTTTAAACCAATAAGTGACGCATAAAACTGTACATTTAAATTAATACAATATTCGAGTTGTGCATATTTTAAGCTAACTATACACAATTTGTACTTTGGGGTTTCCCATATAACATTCAAATAAAGTTCATACCCAGCGTTTAATGACAATAACACCGATTTTTCATTATTATTGTATAAGATGCAGAAATTCTTCGTACCAACGAAGCTGATTTTTCTAAAAAATACCCGCAATCTCTTTGGTGGAAAGTATTGTACAACTAAACCATAACTGCCGTTAGTAAACTTGCTTTCAGATGAAAAAAAGCTTAATTATGAAAAATGTTTGTACTCCTTTGAAATCTACTTCTTTGTTGAGCCAAAAAAATAAAATATACAATTATTCAGAGGGTTTCACATTTCACTTTTTGTCGAAGAAAATTTACCAAATAAAAAAAAATTATTTTATTAAAAATTAATATATTTAAATTTATATTCTATACATTTTCAACAGGGTGTATAAACCGATAATAGCAAAACGAACGCAAATTAGTATATATATATGGTATGTACACGACTTTTTTCAGAATTAATTAATTTTATCACTTCCACAGCGTGGGAACTCACTTAACTTTTGCTACCTGCACACACTTACACATATAGTGCACACATTTGTAAAATTTTCTTATCTCTTAAAGCATTACCTTCTTATTATAACCAATTTATTTTCGTTACTTTCACAGTAGTCAATATTTCGCGCTTGAAACGAGTTTTCAATTTATATTTATGAATATTTTTCTTCGATTACACATGACAGGTGCATGCCACCTTACATACACACATTGGATGTCCCCACAGGACATTGCACAATACGGATAGACTTTGCTTCCCACAAGCGCAAGCTAAATACGAACCACCGAAAAGTACACGAAATGCCCTCACACACACACACATTCAAATGAAGAGCCTAGTGCGCACGCAGAAGCGCAGGTAATATCAGGTCACGCTTCAGAGGCGATAACGCGTTTGCATAAAGTATTTATATTTTACGTGTATAGTATATAAACGAGGGTATTTTTTTCCCCGTAGAATAGGCGAACACAACAAAACGCCAAAAACAAGAAACACAAAACATTAATGACACAATAAAAGGTAATAAAAAAAAAGTCGCGATTGGTGGTTAAAATTGTCTCGCTCGCATGGTGGTTGTTCACTTTCTGTATACTTTTTCGGGTTTCTAGCCGCACGCTTGTTCTGGTTGTTGCGACGGAACGCGTACATATAATAAATAAGAATTAATTCGGCCGACTACTGGTGAAGACACAAGAAAAACGCGTCCGTTCTCAAAGGTTTTCGGAAGTAAACTGAATTGCTTGCACAGAAGCCCGGCCCTGACAACCCAATACGAGTATGCTAAAGTCGTTGAATGGGCTGAGAAAATAATATGTAATAATAAGTAAGTGAAAGAGGGACATTTGCGACTAACTTCATGTATATGTTTCTATGTACTCAAACTTAGTTAGTTGTAAATTTAATTTTCCAGCGCATAATAACAAAGCCGCGCGTACATAGAGACATTCCCTTGCACGAACACAGCTGTAAGCATGCATTTCGGTAGACTTACTACACGCATGCGCAGAAGCGCAACACAAACTTAAGTCGAGTTGGCGCTGTTCGAGTCATGTGTAAGCCCATACCAATGCAGATGCGAGCTGTGGGAGTTGCATAGCTACTGCGAAGGTGTGTGTGCATGCGCATGAGACATACAAGTATGTGCGCATGTGTAGAAGTAAACGTTTGCTCAGTAGAGTCTTCTTCAGTTTTTAATACTTTCATGGCTTTTGCTGTCGCTAGAGCTTTATTGTGCGCATGTGAAAACTTGCCACCAGCACTTGGTCTTGGAGACATCTTTGCCACCACCAGCGTATTATCCCCTCCAACACTAGTACAATTGAATACTGTTACTATTGTTCAGCTCTCAGTTCTCATGTTTGGGAATTTTGCGGCAAAACACTTAGTGATAGCCGAAGTCAAAGTATCTAAGCTGAGTTTGGGTAGCGTTTTTAAGAAGTGATCTTGCTTAGTAAACATAATAAGTGGTTAGCGGTAAATGTAAACTTCGTATGTAGTATATTGTAAATATATATATAATATAATATTAAGTAGATACATAGGAAGTAAATGCTCCCTCACATAAGTGTGTGACCGGGTATCATTTGACGAAATCACAACACTGCTCTACCTCAATGGAGTAACTGTTTTCTTTTTTTTTCAAATTTAACCAACAAAGATTTGTATAATTATGCAGTTGTGTAGCTGATAATATTTATTTGCAATCTTGCTTTTTTTGCTGTTTTTGTGGTTGTTATACACAGGAAACTAAATCAGTACACAAGCCCTGTTTTAATGTCTAACTACTCCAATGGCCTAGAAGTTCTTTGTTGGTCGTAGTTTCTTTTTTTTTTCTTAGTAGGCAATCTCAAAGATATGTACTATTTTACTTCTCCTCTGCGTATCGGTAATTGTAGACTAATTATTTCGCGTTTTATGCTTGTTTCGAAAGGGCCTAACACAATTTTTAACCTTAGTCAACCAACGCCTCGACAAATGCGGCAGAACATTGTCTCCTACATCTCTCATTCGATATTCGCTCTTTGTGCGCTCAAGGTTAGTCAATGCGTATGAATCCTCACTATCAATAGTATCAAGCTACTTCATTATCGGACGCGTTTGGGGCCTGGTCATGGCGTTATCGTTGGAAACTGCATAGCTTGCAAGCCATTTTCTCGATTACCTCGGATTTGAAACGAGCTGGGACTCCGTTGTCTTCTTGCGATATCTTTGGACTTCACGTAGCTTAGCAGACGCTGGTGAACAAATAGCTCCTGGGTGACTGCGAGATCCTTCTGCCTTAGAGTAGAACGTAGGAGAGTATTTAAACCAGTGTTTTTAGCTGTCCAATTGGAATCCGTATAGGCTTTAGTCACAGGATCGTCACAGGATAAACTAACCTAACCAAAAATGCATACCAAAAGCATTTTAATGGTTTGAAGAAGCTTTGACATAAGTTTATTGG